CTATTCTTCGTGGTTGTTTCTATTGTCATCATTATATCGTCACTATCATTATCATCGTCGTCATCACTGCTGCAGAAGATAAAAATTAGAATCAAATTAAGCTGCCTTAAACGCAGCTGGGTTTAAAATCCATTACAAATCCGACAACAGCGGTACCGCTGATCATAACATCAACGATAATCCTAGTGCTGTGCAAAATCAGTGAAGGACGAGGAATAATTCTGGAGCGTAATGCGAAAATCTTCGTCCTTCCTTGTACATCATGACAGTGGCAGCGGTAGCAGTGCTAATTTGATAAATCACAATATGATATTGCAAGCAATACTATTCACTGTATTGCAGCTGTGCTCCATTGCTATGTCGCAATCGCTAGCAAGTAGGTTTCTTTTGGCAACTTACTTTAATTCACAGCATAATTTTCTAAAAAAAGTGGCATGGATTGTTGATTACACCATTGGAGAGCATTCAAAATGTTTCAGTAGTGAACCAGTAGCTGTTTCAAATATCAAATGTGGTTCTCCGTTCTTGTAACCTGCAGTTTTCCTAGTTGTTTTGGCCAGATCGCCCAGTAGTTAACCTGTTGGCGATCCTGAAATTCATCCTGTCGCCTTAAGGGATAACCAACTTAGCAGTGTTTTCGTCAGAAACACTTGACGAGGCTTTGGCCGTCTCGAGGTGTTATTGATGTGTTTTAGTCTCGAACGCTGCCGCTCCTAAACTATGTTAGGATACCTCGCCGATTAGGAGATTTCATTACTACGTCTGCGACTTTGGTTTCATCGTTCTACCACATGTACAGTTATAGTACATCAAGAATACCTAGTCTATCCGAACAAACTGTGTGAGAATCCTATTTCTACAATGTTACTGTATATTTTTGTACGTCAAATGCAGCTGTACGAGCTGATTGATTCCGGGCTGCAAACAAAGAGAAGCAATGGACAGCCTTGCCAGAGAGTGGTTGCTTTTATCACTTATTGTTACTCGGGTTACTTCCCGAATACCTCCGCCTTTTACATAGAACGAATGTCAAAAGTGCTTAGACTCCTGACTTACGGGCTCCAGTCCCCAAAATGGGCGCTCTTACTCGCGTGGGACCCACGTACAGGCCCGCCAAAACTTTTTTCGGGCAAGTCGCTAACTCGCGAACCAGAAAAGCTAGAAAGCTGAAATTTTAAGGGGATGTTACCCATCTACGTAAGTTTTTTACCAGTCCAAACCCTGCCCTCGGGTATGCGTGGTGCCCACGTACGGGCCAGCCAAAGTTTTTTCCGGATAAGCCCCTAACTCGAGAATTTGAAACGCTAGGAGACTGTAATTTTAAGAGCATATTCCCTGTCCACGTAAGTCTCAGTAAGCTCAAACCCAGACACCGAGTATGCGTGATGCCCACGTACGGGCCCACTAAAATTTTTTTTGGGGAAGTTGCTAACTCGGGATCCTGAGAAGCTAGAAGGGATGTTTTCTGGCAGTCCTGTCGGCCAGTCTGAAATTCTTTTAGATAGAAGCATCTGCCGGAAAAACCAGTGCCGTTAACGACAAAAATCTGCGGAGATCCGTGCAAAAAACGCATCTTCGCAAAGGCAGCTCGTGCGTTCGCCAGTTATTTATTCTAAGCTAGGTTATATTTATAATGTTCATTTGCCTTGCTTAGCAAGATATTGCAGAAAATGAGTACAAAGATCCTTGCTCCTGGGATGAGTTGCTCCTGGGATATTGCAAAAAATGAGTACAAAGATCCTTGCTCTCAGGTCTCATTTAACATAAGTGCTAAAGCCTTTTATCCTACTGCGTTTTTTTTCCAGTTGACTCCTCCCTTCCCCCTCCCTCCAGTTCTATATATGTCCATTATCTCTTTTGAGGTCATTCGCTTCAGACTTTTTTCTTCCCACGGATGCCACTCATCGAAAATACTATGTTCACCGGCTATTAGCAAAACGAGCAATTTGTTTGTCATACTGTGAAAAACTGTGTTTGTTGCAGATAGTTTTTTCACAGAGCCAGACACAAATGCGGGTTTTGTAACACGAATCAGCCAGAAAGGCCTGGATTTATTGGCCGATTATCTTAAAGAACGAGTGAATAGGTTTATGCATCATGGCGAAATTATTTTTGATTTTTCTGCACCACTTACTGACGAGGTATTCTATTTTTTTCTGGGTGAAATTGAAACACGAATGGTATTTTAATATTTTGATCGCTTACCAATTCATTACTTTTTCATATATGCAGCTGTAATTTTTCCAGTTGCTTTGACCGGTGTTGCATTGCCTGATGGTCAGTCCGCTGGCGATCCTAACACTCATTTCATCCCCTCAAAGTAGGATTATTAAACGGAGATGACATGGAGCAGAAGCTTTACTCCGTTGCTTTTTTTTTACGCTTTAGCTAGAATGTTAAAGTTGTTTGCAGATAAAGCTCTGTTTTCACAAAAATAGATTCCTTTCTGCAAACTAGTATCCGTGACTCCGAAAAAGCCCACTATGATAACTCCTAGTACCAATTTCTCGCACAAAACTTTGTTCAGGTAACATTTGGTCTCATGTCAACAAAAGCAACTATCTATGATTCGACAACATTCAAATCACGTTTATTTCTTGTTCCTGGCCAGGGGATCACTTGGATGGCAAGCTTTTCCGAATTTTTTTCTCGATTTTTTACTTTTCTAGTTTTTGTTTCCTTAATTTTTGTCAAATGATTGTTTAATGTTTTCGGATTTTTTGCTTTCGCTAATTTAGACTTCCTCCAACTTTTTCAACAGGTTTTTTTCAACTAATAAAATTTTTAGTTGGCAGTGTCTGATAAAAGGCGTACTTACTCTCAAGCTCGAGCTGTTAGTTCGTGTCCGCAATTAGTTTAAAGAAGTTTTAGTCCTCTGTCATTGTTGGTTCACTTCGTGATAAATTGCACTATTCCGTTTAGCTTACCTAGCTGTCAGAACGATTCTTGTTTTTACTTCAGGTAACTTTCATTAAGGAGGATATCTAAATTCATGTCAGAAATTAGTCGGCACTGGCAAATTCTTATCACTGATATTTCCGCCTCTGACAAGAATGAACTGTGGATGAGAGGGAGTAATGGATGGAAAAATCAAAATCTTTCATTGTCATCGTAGGTGTAATGATATTTCCTATTTCAGGGTTCACATTTGAATTTATCAATTGGCACATTTTTCAAATTTTTCAGCCTGGATGGTAATTTTTCTGGATCAGCCATTCTTCAGATTGATAAGTAAGTTGTTTTGGTCACTTAATTTTCTTTTATATGAAAACGAATTCCTATTCAATGCTAGAAACTCAATGCCTATCTCTTTTAAATTTATCATCGTACTGATCCTTAATTTTTGTTAGTTGGCATGCTG